ACACTTGCTGCTGCTGCATTGTTCAGGAATGAGGAAAAAACAAGAAGCTCCCCGGAGATCCTACCCTTCCACCCTAAACAATCAACAGCTTAAAACTGAGGCTGCAGAAGAAGACACAAGGATGACGAAAGTTTTCAGTCTGCAAAACATTTCAATACTGTGTATTTTAAAACCTTTCAGTCTTTGTTATATAAATGATTGATTGTATCCAAAAGTTACAAAGCTTTAAAAAAACCTTTAGATCTTTTGTCTTATTCGTAACCAAAAGCTGCCTGTAAAAACCGAGAAAGCACTCTCTTAATTGATCAGTCAGTGTACAGGAGTTTTCCAACACATTTTTGGTATTAAAAACAAGAAGTTGCCAAACATTTGGTGCCTAACAGCATGCAACTTGGCTAGTGTCAGCAACAGAAACCTCTTGAATTTGTTGTTTTGCTATTGGAGAGTTCTAAAAGCAGAGAGCTGTTTTTACCCCAACGCCCCGTTTCTATTTCCTCTCTGTCATCGCAGACGAGGAAGGAAGTGGCTCTACAAGTCACAGGCAGTCGTTTTTCTCACTCAGTAAAGCTTGTTAGCTTGTTATACAAACTGGAGATAACGCTGCATTAATAAAATCCACATTAATGCAGTGATTGAAATGTTGAGCTTTGACTTTCTGTCAAAGTCTGCTGTATGTCTGAACACAGCTTCAAAATGGGAAGTTTGTGTTTTTATTTTACTTTTTTTACTTTTTTATTCTAAAGATGCAAACTTCTGAGATACATTAGGTTCTCATCTGCATAACAAGATATCTTATCTTGACAAAGAATTGGAATAACTCTGGATCATTTTATTAATTTATTGGCCTGTGACCTAATGAAAGATTTTAGATGATTGTATACATGGTTAAATATGCTTTTTTTTTTACTTCATTGAAATGAAGCTTGTTAATTAAGTTGGTTTAAGTGTGTGGATGATTCATTAAATTAAATCTGTTTTTGGTCTGAACACTGCTACAGATGAATACTTCTGAAATACATTACAATGTCATCTGTGTAACAAGATATGATATTTTAAGGCTTAATATGAATAACTCTGGAATGATGCCTTTTATTTATTGGTCTGTAACACAATGAACGTTAGTGAAGTCATTTTTTTAGGTGTTCAGTGTTTCCCCTAGGTTTACAGCTTTGGGGGGGTGGGGACAAGCCGACATGCCGAGATGTCGACACAAACACCTGAAGGAATCTTGGTGTTCATTTGTTACTTTTTTTTAAAAGATTTATTTTGGGCTTTTTCGTGCCTTTAATTCAGAGGGAGGACAGTGGATAGAGTCGGAAACCAGGGAGAGAGAGCGGGGAATGACATGCGGAAGGGGGCCACGGGTGGAAGCGAACCTGGGCCTACCGCTCGAGACGAGAGTCTCAACACATGGGACGCGCGCCCTGCCACTGTGCCACCAGCGCGCCCCTTAATGTGTTACTTTTAATGACAGATGTCCTTTTCTGTCGGAAAGGAATCCTAATTGACTTCTTTCCCTGATTTCCGACTCTATCCACTATCCTATCCCTACAATAAAGGCACAAAAAGCCCAAAAATAAATCTTTAAAAAAGATATCTGATATTTTACGCTGAATATGTAGAACTCTGGAGTGATGCCTTTTCTTTACTGGTCTGTGACATAATGAAAGTGAGTGAAGTAGCTTTTTAAGGGTTAAAATACATTTGACAACTTCCTAACATTATTTAAATCAACGGTTTGTTCATTTAAACCCTTTAAAATCCCCTTCAGATCGCTTTAATCCATTAATAATAATGGTCGTTATTCATGTTTGCTGAACAATTAAGAGATTACAACAAAGCGATTTAGTTAAATTTTGACTAAAGCTTTTCATGTTGTTCTCATGTTAAGAGAAATCAGAGATGGTGCATAGAAATAAACCCTTTAATTAACGACCTAAATGTGTAATGATCCTTTAACTGAATAATGAATTAAAGCATTACAATTTGGTCTAAATACCTTAATAACATTAAATTACATCATCATTAAACAGGTGTTTCTCTGTGAGGAGCTAGTGTGTTGTGTTTGAAGATGTCTTCAACCCAGAGGACACTCACTGTGTGGAGCATCTCAGGTTCTGTTTCCATAGCAATGTGCAGCCGGTTGTTGTGGCCCTGTGCCATCAGCTCGGCTGTTAAACATCCCGCTGCTGCTCTTTGGCAGAGATAATGACAGAGTGTGAACTTGACATTCACACCAACTCTTCACAGAGAGACACAAAGCAGCCGTCGCATGCTCAGACACGTCCGTCCATTAAGAGCAGGATGCGTCACCAACAATTACCAATAACAGTCAGGGGATATTGAGCATTTAAAGCCGGGTAAATACTCATTTAATGGATTTCTTTCCTCCCTCTGTGTGATGTGGTTTACAGACGAGGAGAAAACTTTCTCCGGTGATGCTGACGGAGCTTTTCTCTGTCTTTGTTTTGTGTTTTTTTTTTCCTAAGAAACTGAATCCCTCAGCGTCGGGGATGTGGCTCAGTTCAGCAGGAGTGAGGGGGAGAAAACAGACTTTCCTCTTAGTAATCTCCTGCTTGTTTTGCCAGCGGTCGTAGGCTGATGCATCCCAGGAGGGGTTGAGGAAAGGGGCTCAGAGCGATCAATAGACTCATAGAGACTCAAACGTTAGCCTCTCTGACCTGATTACAGCATCTGTAGCTCGGGTTCAGACTGACATCATCTGGTGTTTGATACCGAGGCTGGAGGAAGACTTTGGCATGTTCCTCCACAAAAAGAATGGGCCTAAGGATGAGCTCAGGTTTGAGTTTTCCAAAGCTCTGTTGTGCCTGAAGCTTTTTGGCAACATTGCATAAAAGTTTCTTCCACACTTCTTTCCTTTGTGCCTCGCTCTCTCCCCCTCTGTTCAACTTTCCCTTCCAGCCTCAGCAGATGGCTTCCAACCAATAAGTCGGATTCTGCTCGAGATTTCCGCATTTTCAAAGAAGATCGTGATTTTTTTGCCACGGGTGCTTATTGCTTCATTTCATTTTATTTATTATACATGAAAAGATTAAAAGTAACATTACAAAAGTTACAGCTAAACGGGCCTGACTCAGTTAAAACGGCTTCACAAGTGGTTCCTGTTTCGCAGCTCATCAAAAAGAAAGATCACATCAGAAAAAATGACACAACCAACAATCAGGTGTTTGAGGGACAACACAGTGGTGGTGGCTGGGCGTCAGGCGGTGGTTGAGGGGACGATAGTAATAAGGATATAACGATTAGTGATGTTCAAATGTGCATGAATCACAAGTTCTGAGTGCCACGAAGAAAACCTACAACATCATGTTTCATGTGAACTTAAAGGGTTCCAACTGGATGACACAAAGCAGAGATCTCAGCAGCAGGTCCTCCCTGTTTGTCTGTTTCTTTACTTCGATCTTTCTCAGTCATGTCCTCCTTTTGGGAGCAAACACTGACGATAGATTTTTTAGTTCCTGATGTTTTGGTTTCTGATTTTTTTAGTTCCTGATGTTTTGGTTCCTGATTTTTTAGTTCCTGATGTTTTGGTTCCTGATGTTTTGGTTCCTGATGTTTTGGTTCCTGTTCTTTTAGTTGGAAACTTCATTCATATCTGCTCTGTGATTTTCTACAAACTAAAGACTAAAGTATCTTCTATTAATGACAGCAGCAGCTCCAGATGGACTCGGTTATTTTTTGGATTTGACTCATGCAGTTAACTCGCTCGTATGGGTCCACTTGGAACTCTACATGTAGTTCCTCTTTTCTGAATAAGTCCTGCTGTCGTGAAGATCGGTCACATCAGTTTTGTATGCTTGTCGTTCCCATATGACTCAAATGATTCATTCGTCTTTAATTCTGATCCATAGTTTCCCCCCCTGGTCTTGAAGGCTTTGCAAGCACTTTATTAAACCCTTGTCCACACATACACTGATATATTCTTAAGCGAGCTCTCTCCTCTACGGTTGAGATACTGCTCACATAAATATGCTCATTTGGTCCCTCAACAGAGATTTTAGACGACACCTCCTCTGGCCCTTTTGGCACCAGACTCGTATCACCTGGTGGCCTTTTGTAGCTGTTAAATTTTCCTTCAGCACTTGTTTTCTAATGCAGGAAAAGCAATTGTTTCTTTACCCTTCAAGGTTTGCTATCAAGCGTCTGGGCGGCAATAGCTCAGTCTGTAGGGACTTGGGTTGGGAACTGCAGGGTCAAGCACTAACCACTAGGCTTCCGGCGTCCCCTAACATCTTCCTTACAAGAAGCCAGGCCCTCGAGTCGATGTAGCCCCCCCAACCTTCAATGATGTCTTTGGGCACTACTACCACTCGACATCCCTGACGCCCAGCCTCCACCATTGGACTGCGTCGCCCCCACAACCACCGCCGTCCTCATTCATGCACGGCCTGCTCGGGTCGTTTACCTGCTCTTTTGTAAAGTGATTGATTGACTAATGTAACTGTCTTTTAGCCTCTATGTAAAACTGAATTTTCTTTTCAATTTGACTTTGTTGCCGTAGACTTTATCGCCATCTACCAGCCAAATATGCTTGAGGAGTTTTTTTTTTCCGATCTCGAGGGTGTGACATTTTATGGAACAAACATGTTTTTTGTTTGTTAAATGATAGGGAGTACATATGTGTGGACTGAACTTTCATCTTGTCAGTGAAGGGTTTCGTCCTTCTCTCTGTGCCTCTAACTTGTAGGCTTGTGTTTGTTTGTGCCATGAATAACCTCCTTTGTGTTGGAGAAGCCGTTGAAGTGAACTTCCTGGTTCCTATTTCATTCTCGACCTGTAACATCACACCTCCAACCCCAAGCAAGTCTCTCTCTTTTATTGTTGGACTGAAATCTGAACATCCAACTTAAACACACAGGGCTGACTCAGTATTCACATCCTCGAGTTTTATCAAAGCAGTCAATCTGTTTTCTGTTGCTGAGGTTTCCCAGTAAAACCAGTGTGTGTGACTCGTGTTCTCTCTGTGTGTGTTTTTGCAGGCCAGGCCGAGGCGGAGCTGAAGGCGTTCAGTCCGTACTACAGGAAGCAGTTCTCGGTGGCTCGTTTCTCTCAGGTGGAAGATGATCTGGAGCAGCAGAAAGAGCAGACCAGACAGCTGCTCAAACACAGGGTGAGGACGTTTAGACCACCTTACAGCGGCTGCAGCATGCTAACACAACAATGCAGCGCAAGTTATTTTGGTTTAATGCTGGCGACATCTGCTGGATCAAAAAGTCGCATATTCTTGCTTTAACCCTCTAAAAATGGGAAATGACATCCCAAACCGGGTCACCCGCTAAGAGGACTACAGCCTCTGTACGCAGGGCGCTCAAGCTAACTACTCGGCCACCTGAGTCCCTTCACCTCCATTACAGCATGTTTTGTGGTTGTCATATTGAGCAATCTGAAGCAACTTGGACCTTTCATTAGCACATGAAATATTTATTTAGAAAAAGGACCAAGGTTTAAAAGAATCCTTTTAATCATTTCCTTTATTGGCGTCAATTCCAAGAACGAGACGAACTCTGCAGAGAGTCCAGACAACTAATCGACGTACTTGTCACATTTTCAGCTGTGTTTTTAATTTCCTGCGTTATGTGTTTGTCGTGTGATAATCAGGATTCTCCTGAGTCGAGCGCTGTCCTGTACGAGGAACTCGTCCTTTTCTTTGATGAAACCAGGAAGTGGAAGGAGAGGTACATGGTGGTGCGAGCCAACTACTGCCTGGAATGTCACGACAGCTTGGAGGTGAGCGTGAAAACAACGCTGACAATACAAATGTAATACTACCAAAAAAAACGACTAGCTCACATTTCTCTGTTTTCTTTTATCAGATGTTTATGAAAGGAGCTCCTCCACGGCAGACACTGCTGCCTACAGGGGGCACTGTTCTGACTACAGAGGAGAAGTATATGGCCATGGTGGACCAGTGCTTCCCTGATGATACCAGTGAGTAGAACCAGAACCAGTGACAGAAGTAAAAGAATACTTAAAGTGGAAATAGTTTAAAAATGCTAACATTAAGCCTGATTTTGAAGTATGGTGTTGACGGCACCATAGGCAATGGAGACTAGCGCTAACTGATCAAAAGCGTTGATTTAAATCGTCTACTGGGAGGGCCCATTCACTGGGACTTTCAGGGGCCCAGCCATTTCTGTGGGCAGGCCTGGCCACTGCCATATTTGTCTGTTGGAGTTAGAAGAGACAAGATTTTTTGGATGGAAGCTGAAGAGGGTCAAACGTTAGCAAGGTGCCCGGGTAATTCAGTAATTGGGATGCCTATTTTGGCAACAACAATTAAAATGGCTTTGAACTAAATGTACATACTGAAAGAATTAACATCCGACGCCTCAGAGTGTCTTTGAGCTCATGTGGGCCCAAACTTTTCAGCCCCCCAAAACGAAGGTGCCAGAGTGGGGAGGTAGTCAGGAAATTTCATCAGATACTTTCCCAATAACGGAAATAAATGCCTTACCTTACTTAAAAAAAAAGAGAGGATGTGATACATTATTAAGATTCATGCGAAAGCATTTTGATATGCAGTGATGTTAGAATCCATAGTTTGAGTCCTCATGCCTTGCTGTGGAGGGTAAAAGTTATATAATAAATGTCTTTTTTTAGTTGTAGGTCGGAAAAAACGATCCGATCCGTGTTAAAAATGGGTGATCCGATCCAAACTGAGAGATTGGTTTTTCATAAGTCCACATGCAAGAAGTAGACGTCTGAGACATTTGACTTTGTGTTGTTTTCTAACTGCTTTTGAAAATGGAGAGAGGTTAGAGCGCAGAAAGGTTTACAGAGCTGGCTAAACACTGAAGGTTGCAGTTATCCCCTCCTCCCCTTAACCCCTCCCCCTCTTTGTGGTCTATTTGACTCTTAATGGGACCATCGTTTACTAAATAAACATCATGCTGCATTGAAGACTTGAAAGTAGAGTCTGAGACTGTAATCTTGTGATGCAATATCAGACTTCTTTTAAAACCATCATTTTTGCCTCAGAAATTGATGTTTTCAAAACAGACGTTTGTCTCCTGATAAGAAAGTGACCTCTGCAGATCACAGGTTTCTTCCGTACAGTTTTCTTTGGCTGTTTGAACACAAAACATGCTCTCCTTAAGGGATTGGTATAAAAAAAAAACTTACCATAGCTCTGATGCATTCCTTATTTTTTGTAGATTTACCCGCAGACAAATGTAAACCTGTAATATAATGCAGAAGTCATGCAATAATAACATTGTACTTATGATTCATACCTAACTTTTTCTGGTAAATCTGCTTCTAAATTAGTTTTATAAATGTTGTTCTCATGCAGAGGGAAAATCTGAGCTGAGTTATTGGACTTTAATGTCTGTTTATTCCTTCATCAGTGTTTAAGCCTTCATGATTATTTTATTTAAGAGAAGAGAAACTTGTTTCCCACTGTGATTATGAAGAATAAACTCCCACCCACAGGTGCTTAATGACGCCAAAAGCAGCTCAGGTGGGAGTCTTAAGAAAACACACAAAAACAGGACGCAGTGACTCATTCTGCCGTTACGAAAGGTTGTGTTTGTGTTGACATTTTCAAATAAATGTTGTTTCTTTTGCGTGTTACAGATGTGAAGGAGGAATTTGCTCCCCCTCTGACGGGGATGCCGGGTCAGTTCCCTGTCTACCTGCGGCTACCTTACAGGACAGATTGTTACTTCTGCTTCAAACAGCAGGCCAAACAGCGGCCTTCCTCTCCATCCTGTCCGACTGCATCCGGCACCAGAACCAAGGTAGGACCCAAACACACAGTGGGTTGAACATCCTCTGCTGCAATTATCTATCTGGGGATCAAAACAGTTTGCAAAAATACAAAAACTTCTCTTTTAGCGTCTGGCTTTCTTTTGCAGATTTTACGATACCAAGACCTGTAATTTGTTTCCTTTTTTGATACCTTGCTGCAGGATGATGAACCTGTTTTTCTCGAAAAACCTTTAAAATTTTAGCAGTCTATTTAAGTCAGATTTTTGTGTCATATCAGAATAAATAAATCAAAAACAAAGTCTCAAAATGAGCCATCTGGTGATCAGAGGGGTAGCCCCCCCCTTGAAATCTAATTGGCACCCCCCATGTGCCACCCCAAAAACCAAATCTATGATTGGATATTTGTTGAATCAGATCCAGGACTTAAGTTGAAATCAACTCTTCTGGCTGTTTTCAAGAGGCTGCTGGTAGTTTTCTTTACGCGTTAATGTAGTATTTTTGGTTTGTTAATATGTTCAGTTTTAAAATAATACTTTGCTCTTTCCTTTAAATGTCAAAACAAAAACTTGTGCACATTATCTTTCTTGTAATGGACTTTAATGCAAATAAATGTATTTTTGCAAGTTAGACAGCGTGCAAGAGTTTGCATGCAAAGTACTTAAAATTGTGTATTTGTACATATTCGTTTTTTCATCCGTCAAGAGTCAAGCTAAGAAAATGTTTATGTTGCCAAATAGTGACACATACAAGTACACATCATGAGTGGGGATGGAAGGGGTACATTTTTTTTGTATTTCTATTTGATATATAATAATAGAAATAGAAATCTTATAAAAGACTGTGAATCAGACAAAAACACATTTTCAATCCTTGTCCCAACATTCAGATGTTAGTAGATCAACAGTAATGATTCATTACTGAATGTTTCTCTCACCACCGAGGCTGCAGACTTCTGCAGGGAGTGGCGTGTTTGATGCTCAAAGATAATACTTTAGTTTTTTTTTTGTTTTTTTTTTCCATCACATGAACCTGTTTCCATGGTAACAGCCTCACCACACCAGCTCCGGGAGGCAGACAAGATATTTAATCATGTCAAAGCAGAACGCTGGCTCGAGGTTGTAAAAAGATCTCTGATTGGCCGAGTGCTGAAGAAGCTGAAATGTTTCATTGTCAGTGACCGCAGACTGATGATGACACACTACATTACCCAGACTATTCACATTATACAAGGTTTGTTTTTGTTGCTCACCTTGCCTGTTTATCTGTCTCTCTGCTCTCAGACTTCCTGAAGAAGAAGACGTGCGAGGTGCAGGCGTTCCTCAAGGCCATCCAGCTCTATAGGCAGGACAAAGAACGATACGAGTCCTGGGACATGCTGATCGGAAGTGACGTCAGGGTACGTCTTGTTTTCTTCTTCATGTGCATTTAATTTATCCCTCTCAGACGTTACCTTCAGTGCTCAATAAAGTTTCTAAACGCAAATAAACAAAAGGACATCCATCCTAGGACAGAATTCTACAAATTCTACAATTAACTTACGAGATTCTTTCATCCAAAGCGACGTACATCAGAGAGTAAGAACAACACAAGCAAGGATCTAGAAAAAAGGGAACAATGTCAGTAAGAGCAAACGATCAGCTTGAGTCTGATTGGACACACAGGTGCTGACAGGAAGTGACCAGAGGCAAAGCACAACATTGAGGGCAGTTCTTGAGAGCTCTAATCAGTATAGAAACCATCTTATAAGTCATCGTTATCAAACAAAAACCATCGTCATTACCATCATCATCATCAATAATATGGAGACCATCATCATTAAGTTAGTAGGTATTCATGAAAGAGCTGGGTCTTTAGCTTTTTCTTAAAGGTGCAGAGGGACTCTGCAGATCACATGGAGTTTGGAAGTTCATTCCACCACCGGGGGGCGACAGAGGAGAAGAGTCTAGTCAGCGTCTTAGGACCCTGTTGTGAAGGTTGGATCAGACGCCTTTCATTGGCAGAGCGTAGTGGGGGGGAGGGAGTGTAGACCTGGGAGTGTTAAATGATGTTTGGAAGTATCGTCACAGTCTCCTTCACCTGAAAGTCTTTTTATAAAGGTCAAGTCAAGAAAAGACAGATTCAACAGCGAGTTAATTTTCATCTGCGGATCTAAAGAAGTTTTTCATCGAGGGTCTGATTTCCTGCAGAATTCTGGATTTGTTTTTCCGTCTTAAAAACTTCAAAGTCGGCTCTTAAACCCTTTTGTCATGGTTTATTTCCTGATCTTTTATGTGCTGTTGTTCAGAGAGGAGAAAGAGAAAAGCTCTCCTCCTGTTTACACACCGCAGAGTATTTGCATGAAGGGTGTGTGTCATACAGAGTTGTGGCTTGTTTGCATCCTCTCACTCTGCTTGCTTTAATCTGTGGTTTCCAGCAGCAGCAGCAGAGACAGTCTGAGCATGCTCAGTGAGGAGACGACTGTCCTCTTTACTCTCGCTTTACTCTCTCTCTCTCTCTCTCTTTTTGCTGCTCTGCTCGCCACGATGCTTCCTGCTCTTTTTTTCCTCTCTGCTCCGTCTAAAACAGAGCAGGAATCCTCCCACAGAAACGCTCCATTGTGTTCACAATTAGTCGGAGGTGAGAGGAAGTTTTAGTCGCTGCAGGAAAACACACACACACACATACACACACACACACACACAAACTTAAAGACAATTTGCATTAGCAACAAGTTGGACATTTCCTGTTTTTTCTGCTGTTCACACACGTGCAGTAAAACAACACACCACGGCACTCACACTCACTAACCTGCTTTCTTCCCCCTTCTGCATAGCTCTCATCTTACGCACACACATAAACACACACACACACACACACACACACACACACACACACACACACACACACACACACACACACACGCCCACGAGTCAGAGCTGAGAAATGAGAGGAATGAATGAAATGTTGGCTGCAGGAACAACACAAACTGATGCACCGACTTTTAGAAGCACAGCTGCAAATCCATGAATCTGTCACGTTGTCAGGGCAGTTATTTGGACAGAACATGTGTGTGTGGCCTGCAGTGTGTGCACAGTGTTCACTTAAAGGACTACTTAAATAAAAGAAGCACCCAACTATTTCAAAAAGTCGATTCTTCAATCTAAGGATTTTTCCAACGTTGAGTTACAGACTCATTTTGTGGGGGAAAAAACACAAAACTCAGATGTGTGTTACAATACAATGAATCCGTTTGGAAAGAGAAGTCAAAAAACATTTATTTAAGACTTTTTTTTATGTTCTAAACTTTCATCCTTCCATACTCAGGATATTGCATATTGGATCGTAGGGTTACATTTTTTCGAAGCAGACTTTCAGTTCAGATCTTTATCGTCCCGAGAAGGGAGATTAGATTAACCGCACGGGGTAAAAACACAAACACAGCAAATTAAAAGTCATAAGGACAGTGCAACACAATCGGAGAAATGTGTTATGGAAAATTAATTATAGGTTTAAAGCTGAATAAGTGCATTAAGCTGGTCATACCCTGGATGATATTAAGACCGATTTTGGGTCTGATTTGACCTCTTGAAAACTGCTGAGAGTGCCGATTATTTTAATGGCTGGTTTAATGATTCTGGACAGACGATTTGTGTACTGTCAGGTTACTATACCATGAGCTAAATAAAAAACGATCTGTAGAGAGAGAGAGAGAGAGAATCTGATTAGACTCGAGTATCCTGGTTCTGATCATTTTCAGGACCTGGTGTTTTCATGCACACAGAGAAACCTGCTTCTTCATGTCCCCGTAAACATGATTAACACTAGAATCCTGGTTTCTCATTACTGCATCTTATCCAGGCAGGCGCCTGTGGTGTTTATCTTTTACAACACAAACTGCAGCAATTAAGAAATCTGAGAAAAATGAGACCACTGAGGCATGTTGCAGGCTTAGCCTAAAATGATGACATGGTGTTGCAGTTATGATGTATCCATCTCATATCGAGGAGAGGAGAGTGACAGAAAGTATCAAACATGTCCTCACCTGCCAGCGCTTAGCACACGGGAGCAATGGGTGAAGAGACGCAGATGTGATTGGTGGGACAGGGTCGTCATCAAGGAGTTCACTGATCCGAGAAGAGAGACAAAACTCAGTTTCTTCGTCGCTCCAAAAGCTGCCATGTTTGTTTTGCTGATACATCTCTTGGCTGAGGCGGCGCCTGTGCAGGTAGTCGGCAGCCTTCAGTACAGATGTAAGGCGTAAACAGGCCACAGCATCTCATTTTCTTTCTGAGTTCTCCAGGTAGCAAAACAAAATCAGGATAAGGGCTTATCCTGCGTCCTGAAATCGGGATATGATGACATGCACAAAAAAAAGAAAAGACAAAGGTAACCCGATGAAAACAGGGATCCTCAATTCCATGTAAACTCATGGAATATCATCAATCATATTGTCACCAATAAAAGATTTCAATTATTTCAGTTGGAATTTCCCAATCTGTGATATAATTATTGATTGGTGAACGTGTCGTTTTAAGACCATTGAACAGTCATTCATCAGATTTCAGTCAATCCTACAACCTGCTTACAGAAGTCTCAAATAACTTTGAGTCCATTCATATTAAAACCAAACAAAGTTTGGACCATAAATAGACTAGTGACTCATTCATACTGCCTTGATTCAGTCCTCTTTGCTGCAGACGAGACAACAATTAGAAATCTCTTAACTTTAGTAACCCACAATTCACTTAGCAGACGCTTTTATCCAAAGCGACAAACATCAGAGAGTAAGTACAACACAAGCAACCTGAGGTGTTTCTTTTTTGGATTTTGATATACAAGGGGAAATCCGGCTTTTACACTCTGTTATTTAGAGACATGCTTCTTACACACACACATAGGTCCGAATCTCACACATGCACAAACAGGACCTGTGGACATGCATTAGTGGAGCGATGTCAGAGTCGGGCTGCTACACACCAGGTGCATTGCTCTGGAAATGTCCTGGCACCTCTCCAGCTACCAGACAAAATTCATGGGCGATTCGAGAGTCTGTTGGGGCCCTCGGCAAAAATTTGGGGCCCCTCCAACCAGCGTTCATCACCATCATGTCCGCCAGTTGCCTGACACTTACTCCTCTTTTTTACCTATTATTTTTTCTAGTGTTTTAAAAGCAATAATTTATGCAACGCTTAGCAGGGAAACGACGATGAGTGCTGTCAGATAGGGCCCCTTTAGGTAGGTTTTCTACTGCCGTTGTAAATTTGTGCATTTTGAGCCACTGCTGTACTGGAGTTTAAAGTTTGTCAGCCCTTATTGGTCTGGGCCCCCAAGCAGTTGCCTGCCTTGCCTGTTGACGAGCAGCTCCTCTGTCCACATTATGGTCCGCAATTGAACCGGCGACCCCCCTCGGCTCCCAACCCAAGTCCCTACGGACTGAGCTACTGCCTCCCCCTGCTTAACACTTTTTAGAACAAAAAGTTTAATTCTGGTTTCTGTTTGTGTGTTTGTGTGCAGGTGATGGCCAACCTGGTGATGGAGCAGCTGCTGCCGTCTCTCGAGAAAGAAATGCTGCCTCGACTCAAAGCCAAGAAGACGGAGAAGAAGAGAGTTTGGTTCGCTGTGAGTCGACTTTTATTTTTAACTTCTCAATATTCACTCTGACTTTATATCTGATGATACTGCTTTTCCTTGTAAATGAAAAATTATTATTGTTTGTAAATTGGCACATGGAGAGAACTTGAAAATCCATGTAGATGTACGTTTCAGGTTTGTATGGGCCACTTAAATCTGAAATAAAATGTGATGCATTCATGCTGCAGGCACTGAACTCAGGCTGTGAAACTGTAAATCTTCATGTAAAGGGATTTAATGCCGTCCTCCTTAATTCACTGATTGTTCCCAGACGGTGGAGGCGGCGTACTTCCTGATTCAGGAGCATCTTCTGGAGGGACTCTCGGCGCTGAAGGAGGAGTGCCGCGTGTCAGTTAGGCAGCAGGAGGTTCTGATCCACTCGGACATGGACCAGATCCTCGGGTCCAGACGGCAGCTGGAGGAAAAAGTCAGAGGTGAATTTCATTTTCTTCATATCTTTGCTTTGTGACTCACACAGGATGAGCTGCATTTACTGATATAAATGATACTGTGGCTGCGGTGTTCCCTGAGATGAAGTATTTAATTTCTCTCTTCAGACAAAGTATCGGAGCCGGCAGAGAAGCTGAGCTCGGAGAAGGTGCAGCCGTACCTGGCCTCCGTCCTGGAGGAGCTGATGGAGCCAATCAGCTCGGGTTTCCAGGAGGGGCGTCAGCTGAGTGAGAACATGATGGACCAGGTGTGTCAGGAGGTGAACGACAACGAGCAACTGAAAAAGGTTTGTTCAGAATAGCTGACGTAATAAGAAAGAAGTCGACAAATTAATATTTTACTGTCACAAAAATATTAGCTTGTTTGTCTGTTTTTAATAAGCAACATTAACCTGACTTATCTCAGTAAAAACAACACAGAATCAAACATTTATTGATGCATCTCATGGAAAATTCATCGACAGCTATTTTATTTTTAACCTTTGAAGAATTGCTGCGGCGTTATTTATTTTAAATAAAAAGGAGAAGTATACTCAAGTGTCTGCTGTCAGCTGTTACGACTCGTTGATTTCCTCCGTCTTGTGCAACTATGAATTGGATGACTTTGTTTTTTGGACAGTTGGTTTGACAGAATGAGATTTCTGAAGAACAAGTGGTTATTTTTATGATTTTGTTATCCATCTGTCCCCGTGCTTCAATAACTCCATTTATGTGTTGGAGCAACATGAGCAGAAAAAGCTGCAGATGTCCTCTTCTGCAGAGGGAAAGATGATGGAAAATAAATGTTGCTTACGGTTACAAACCTTCAATGAATTCACATGCTCACATGTGATTTGTCATATGTTGTAAAGTTGTGACTGTCACTCTGTTTAGAGCGATCTTTACACACACTTAAAGGCAGGGTTGGTAATTTTCTAAAACTAGCATGATTTTGAAAGTAGCATTCCCTCAGTGCTCCGTCTGCACCCAACCCCTCCCCTCTGTGCTCCCTCTAAAGCCACGCCCCCTCACTTACATGCACAAGCGCTGTTGTTACAGAAGCGGACCTCAGCTCATGCTTTGAGTGTGGACTCACACAAGAGGTAGAGAGCGAGCAGGGAGACAGGGAGGCGTCTGATTGGTTCATCAGATTGGTACCTCGTGGCAGACATTGGTGGAAGTTTTTACAGACTTACAAACTGATACAGATGACGGATTTTCTTTGTTCCTTTTTCAGAGAACATGAGTTATTAATGTCTGTCAGGACCTAAAGACAATTTCAACCAAAATCTGAAAAAGTAGATCTGGAGGAAATGAACAACCCTGCCTTTTGGGAAATGTGAAAATTGTTCTCATTCCTTTAGTGGAAAACTGAGTTCCTAATAAGGGTCCTTATGCAACGGGCCTCTCTGTGGTGAAAAACGCAGCTGATGAGTGACGCTGGTTATTTCTCTCTCTCCCTTTGCAGTCTTTGGCCAACATGGCGAGACCGAACCTGCAGAGCTGCTACCAGATGATCGGCTCCCTGCAGGAGAAACTGAAGCACCTGCAGGAGAGGTTTGGTTTCCAAAACATCACAGGAGTGATCCACAGCGCTCAGATCGACCTGCAGCAGGTACAGTGACACGAATCTGCACACACACACATTCATGCCTAATTACCAAACGGGGACCGTCATTTACACGGACCACATCAGGACCGCTGTGGACACACACGTTCATGCCTACACTACCAAGTGGGGACTTTTATTGTAAATAGACAAAGTGGGGTCCTCTATTTCTGACCAATTCAAAAGACACAAATACAATTGTTGTAATCTTAACAAAGATATTTTATGCTTTTTTTATTTTTTTTTAAAGAAATTCCCAAAAGGGGAAATGCGTCTGAGCAATGTTTATTAGTGCTGTCCTTCAAAACTTTATGATTCTTTTAAAAAACAAAGGATATGGTTACCTGTTGCGAGACATGACACCAAATAAAAAAAAAAAAAAAAAACTCATGTGCACCCAAATTTAGAAACTCCTTTCTTTCAAAGAGTTGAGCTGAGGTCCACATCTGGAGCGACGGCGCTTGTGCATGTAAGTGAGGGGGCGTGGCTTTTGAGGGAGCACAGAGGGGAGGGGGTGCAGACGGAGCACTGAGGGAATGCTACTTTCAAAATCATGCTAGTTTCTTTAAAATTACCAACCCTGCCTTTAATGATGTTTCAACCGTATACACACACACACACAAAGAACATGTGTTCTTCCTTCAACGTCTACTTCAGACAGACGGCGACGCTTTCATTTTTCAGCTCAGGCAGGCGGAGTGGGCGGACGATGTTACTCATTTTATTAACAGACATTCATGACACACTTGTGATTGTAATATATGTTCCTTCAATACATCGACTCAGCGTCTCCGAGCTAAAACAAAGACAGACTCAGCTCAGACGTGGGCTGCTGCTGATTTTATTTCACACTGATCGGACTTCCAGATGTTTTGTTTCTGCTCTGTATTGGGAGCAGCTGTCTGATCTGATCTGATCTCATCCTGTGTGTGTTTGTGTGTGTGTGTGTGTGTTGTGTGTGTGTGTGTGTGTGTGTGTGTGTGTGTGTGTGTGTGTGTGTGTGTGTGTGTGTGTGTGTGTGTGTGTGTGTGTGTGTGTGTGTGTGTGTGTGTGTGTGTGTTTCAGCTGATGGAGAATGCAGCGTACACGTTCGAGCAGCTGTTCTACAAAGCCGTCCAGGACAACCCGTACAACCCCGGCTCTGCCATCGAAAAGGCCAAACACAGAGTGCTGAAGGTCAGACATTTACAACTCAAGAGCTGAATAAACATGTTGGTGTTGGAAATTAAATTCGTAAAAGTAGTTTCAAAGCTCCAAAAACGCAGCACAGCTCCAATTAGACTTTTAAGATACAAAAAAACACAAACTTCAGCCTTTTTTCTTTAGAAACACTGTTTTCTTTTTCATAATAATGACAAAGTTTCTTAAATGTATTTAAAGTGGGAGTCATTTTAATTTAACTGGGGCTTTATGTTAGCTATTTCTTTTGGTCTAATTGAGTCATAGTTACAGACATTTTTGGTACAGCTTTAGCAGATTGATGGCTGCATTACAATCCTTTAAAAAAAAAAAAAACTCCAACACATAAATGGAGTTATATGCCTTTATTCAGAAACAGGACAGTTGATAGTTAGAAATCATGGTGAGAGAGGGAGATAGAGGGGAATGACATGCGGGAAAGGAGCCACCATTGGATTTGAACCCGCGCGGCCTGCCTCCAGGGACTTTAGCCTCTGTACACGGCACTAACCACTCGGCTACAGATCGATTTCTAAGTGTCTGAAAGCATCATAAAAAAAGATCCCAACAGAGATAAACCTTTTTGTTTGAGAGTAAGTTGCTTTTTGAAACCACAAATGGATGAACAACTCAGTCTTCAAAATCCCCAGACAGGAAAAAAAATCTGTAAAACTGTAAAATACTGCTACCCTGATTGGTTAGTTTTGATCCATGTTTGTGTATCAAAGGGTCATCCAAAAGAACGGTCCTATCAGGAAGTTCTAGTACAGAAACTTTGTTGTTCTGCAAAGGGAAATTTGGGATTTTGTAAATTAATAAAACAAAAAAAGAAGAAAGACCATAGCTGTTAAAAACCTGACCCAAAGACATCAAGTGCTTCTTCTCCTCTGTGTGTGTCCTGCAGCAATATGATTACGACAGCAGCACAGTGAGGAAGAGGATCTCCAGAGAGGCTCTGGTTTCCATCACTCTGCCCTTCATCAAGAAGAACCTCGCACCGACCTGCAAATCTGTGAGCCTCACTCAAACACCCGCACAGTCACACTGTTTCAACAACATATTACATACCGACTGTTCCACAGACATGATCTTTGAATCATCTGCTCACAGATATAAAACATAAGCATTGTTTCTTTCGAGGAAGCTGGGGGGGTCTCGAGGGCCTCAACCACAGCCTCAGTTAACCCTGAGATATCGTTAGAACCACTCAAAGTCAAAGTCAACTTTATTGTCAATTTCAAAATATGCCAGACATACAGTGGAATCGAAATTGTGTTTGTCTCCGTCCCGCGGTGCAATACAACCAAAATAAGGTAAAATAAGATAAATAATATTTACAGTAATAAATTCTAAATTGTGCAAAAGGTACAAAATGGTAAATAAAATAAATAAAATAAAATTGAAAGAAAAAGTAAACTTGTGCAATATGTGCAATGTGCAGTAAACTGAGTGTACTTTTGAATAGTTAGCTTCAGAGTTTTTAGTCCAGAGTTCTTGGTGGCAAACGGGAGGGGGTTTCAACGTCCAGTGTTCGTGGGGGCAGAGGGGAGAGAAGGAAGAGAAGGGAGAGAGTTAAGCTTCCTGACAGCTTGGTGGAAGAAGCTGTTTCTCAGTCTGGTGGAGCCGGCCCGCAGGCTGCGGTACCGTCTCCCCGATGGCAGGAGGCTGAAGAGGCTGTGTGAGGGGTGGGTGGGGTCACGCACAATGCTGGTTGCTTTGTGGGTGAGGCGGGTACCGTAGAGGTCCAGAAGAGAGGGGAGTGGGACACCGATAATCCGTTTAGATCCACAACACAAACGACTCATTATAAGCCTTAGTGGACAAATGTTTTGGTTCTTGAATACCAGCTGTTTCAGAAGGATACAATCTCATTTCTTTTACTGAACGACAGAATTAAAAAGTACTGAATCACATTCAAACATTCACTTCGTGAGGACAGGACTGACTCCATCAACGATTGCAAGCAAACTGCACGCTGTATAAATTATTAGAATATTTGTACAATATAGACCAGAGGTTCTCAACTGGGGGGTCGGGACCCAAAAGTGGGTCGCAAAGCCGTTTTCAGTTGGTCAGGAATGTGTGCCTGGGATAAAAATGGTTTCAAAAAGTCTACAGAGCGCTTTTTAAACGTGTTTGATTTGTTCAGTTTCTTGCCTCCTGCAGTTTTTCAGTTGTAAAATATCAGAAATTTGGGTCGCGATTTCTCATGGAGGGGTCGGTGGTGGCTCCTGAGGCTAGACGAGTTGAGAACCACTGATATAGACAGTGTTCAGGAGTTAGCTTGCAATTTGTGATGATTAAAATCAAGAAATTACCGTTTATTGGCTGTGGAACTTGTTTTTTTTTTTGTGGCTGTGGTTTTGAAATGGTTATAGATATTGTTTGATTTATAAAAGAATCATATTGAAGTGAAAATTCTTGCTATCTTGAAACCTTTAACTTTCAGCCTGAAATCTCTACTGCAGTTTAAAGCATCTAAAAGGTTTTTATTTTATGTTTAAAAAATACTTGTGACCCTTTTCTTGCCATACAGCCACATTTCTTCTGTATGGTATTCAGCAAAACATTTCATTTCCACTGAGAATTTAGAATACATTTTCTTTTCACAAAAAGCTAGAATTTAAGGAGTCTGAGTCAGGTTTATTCCGTTTGTCAAGGATGCAAGTACGTCCCTAAATGGTCAATAATGTGCTACCATTAAGTAAAGTGAAATGTCAAACTCCAGTAGGAAGTACTGACAGAAATTAAAAGCATTTAGAAAAGAATTTTTAGGTGTAAAATCATTGTGAAATCTACGCCGATATATTTCATTCAGCGTTAAAGTTTTTTAGAACTTTTCAAATAACAAAAGACAAACTCAAGCATGACTTGTTTCTGTTCAGGAGCTTCAGGGACTTGAACAATCCATCTACACCGACCACTCCAACTTCGTCAACGTGGAGAACGTTTATGAGGACATCCTGCTGCAAACGCTGGACAAAGAGGTCACCACAGGTATGATATCATGTGTTTCCCATCTTCTGTCTTTAACAATACAATCTTTATTAATTTTACATTCAGACGTAGACAAAAGTACCGTGCAGCGTACATGAAAATAAAGCGGTAAAATAAGACATTATCTTCTCTTGTTGTCACTCTGGAGATCTAATAAACATAACTGAACCTCAGCACAAACCTGAAACAGGATGCTGGTTTAGTTTGTTTGCAATTGAAGCCACACTGAGAAACAACAGAAACTTATCAAAGCACCAAAGCTTTCTTCTTACTGGAAGTATAAAGGCTCTGACACACCAAGGAGAGTCGGTGAGCGGTGGTTGCCCTAGTTTTTGCAGTCGCTGCCAGTCGGCCCCCCGTCTGTCTTTTTGGCCAATTTGGTTGGTGAGAGGAATCTCTCTGATTGGCTGTTGGGAGGTTTCATTTCTCTCCAGCTCTCCTCTCAGGTTCAGTAAAGCCTGTTGAGCATATCGCTGTAGTCTCCATGCTTTCACCCATTAGTGTGGTTTCTCCTTATTTGTCTCCTCCTCTTCTTTTCTTTTTTCCACTAAAAGACCAAGAGCTGACAACGCCAGCGCCATTTTCAACTTTTTATCAGACATTCTTCTCCATTAGTAGGCGACCTATAATACGAGTGGTGACCGACAGCGGTGTGAAAATGTCTTCTGGAGCTACCGCCCCCTGCTGGCATGGAGAGTTATTTCCTCTCATGCATGAGCAGAACGTATGTGGTGGTCGGCCGTCGGCTGTAGTCTTTGCGGTGTGTTCAAGTGCAACTTTTTGGCCAAGACGTGAGGCGAGACATCACAGTCTGCATTTGTCGCATCTAGTTCTTTAACATCTGCTCGGTGTGTCAGGGCCTTTAAGATTCAAATGAAGGATATATACTGCTCTTATTTATGTTTTCATGCTCATCTTTTTAGCTGAAATATTACATCTTAAAACTGTCCAACAGGCCTTGCACTAATGATGATAAAGTCATGTTATAAGCCTTACATTGTGCTTTCCCACTCAGCGATTGTTTTTGTTCCAAGTTCTTCCTGCATTTGTCGCTGCAGCTGTGATTTTAGTCTGGATTAGGCGCTTAACTTTCTCACATTTTTCAAATATCCGAGTTTGCTCTGGCTACAGACTTGTGTATAACTGGTCGTGTGATGGTTACTTTACCTTTTAAATCAACGTACTATAGAAACTCTGGGTTTACTTATCGAGTTGATACCCAGCTTGGTGTGACTCCTCTAACTTCTCTTGTTCTCTCCTCCTGCAGTCGTGAAGGAGGCGGCGAATCTGATGAAGTACAACCTGTTCAATGACAGCAGAGACCTGCTCAGTCAGTCCAGCCGCTCCAGCCTCTCTTCCCCGTCCGCCTCCACTCCGGGCAGCCCTGCCATGCCTAAAACCTCCCCGGGTAAAACCTCCTCCTCCTCCGAGCCCCTGCCCCCATCTCCTCTGGCGGTGAACGGTTTGTCCTCCAGTCCTGAGAAGAAGGAGGAGGAGCAGGAGGTGAAGGGGACTGACGTGCTGCCGCAGAATGAGGAAGTGACGGTCACTGGAACACCTCTGGGGAAGGTAGAGCAAAAAGAAGATGGTCAGAGTGTCGTCGTCAGTGAGTAGAGGCTGCTGAGGTTATCGCACCTGAAACAGAAGACGTCTTCATAACAGTGAAGGAAGAAGCCGACACTCCTGCTTTAGCAGAAACAACAATTCAGAGTGAGACACCAGTAGTAAAAGCTGCAGCAGCTCCAGAGACTGAAGTGGTTTCTGTCATAACAGAGAAAGTTGACGCGGCTGCTGAGCCTCAAACACAGAGCACAGACGCTCCAACGGAAGCAGAAATCGCTGTGTCAGCAATCCCCGCTGTTATAGAAAGTATAAAAACAGATGTAGAAGCAGCGCAGGTAGACGCACCTGTAACAAGTCCTGATCCTACAAATGAACCGGCAAACACTTTAGAGGAGGGTTCAGTTTCACAACCTGCAGCCAGCAGCGGGGAGGAGACCCTCTGTGCAAGCTCAGACATCAACCTAGAGGCTCCCTCTAGTGGTGAAACACCTGCAGTCACACTTGCAGAAGTCAGCCGGGACTTAAAGAGACGGGAGTCAGAACCACCTGTGGCTTCAGACCCAAATTCTCTGGATGTGTCCGTGGGAAGTGAGTCTGCTCCGTCAGATGTGGAGTCCACTGAGGAGGTCAAAGGCACGCCGTGCAGTGAGGACGAAGTCTCAACCACCTCGGACGTCCTGGAAGATGAGGCCAACCTGAGTAAATCGCCTGTGAGCTCAGACGAGCCCGCTGAGGAGAAATCTACAAGCAATGAGCCGTCTCCTCAGGCGCAGACGGAAGAAGCTGTGAGCGTCGTTGTGAGCGGGAACATCGAGGCAGGAGCGAGCGTGGAGTCCCCGGTGGAGGTGGCGGCAGACGCTAAAGAGGACACGCCCTCCAGCCCTGAAGCCCCACCTCTGGACTCCATCAAGCAGATCCGGGACCTGGTGGAGGAGGTGATCGAGGTGGAGGAGCTGGTGCGGCGTTACCCGAGCGGAATCCCAAAAGAAGAAGAATGAAGACGAGAAACGAAGATAACTCGAGACGTTATTCTACCAAAGGGAACTTGTTTTTTCACCTGAATGTGACGGTAGCTTTCATCCAATCATCATTAATTTAAAACAAAAGCAGGAGAAAGATTCCTGAGAGTCATCCAGAGGAGCTTCCATGAACTTTTTTAAACACATATGCATGAAATGTTGGTGAACTATTTATATGAATCATTTACACAAATCGATATATATCAGCTGTTCGGATGTTTTTAAACCAACTGCTCTGTTTTTAACACTAAAATGATTTTTAGTTTTAATTAGAATTAGGAAAAGTTTTTTTTTTTTATTATGATCGTGAAGAAATGTTAAATTGTGGTAGATTTATATAAAAAAAGTAAAAAATAATAATATTTATGGGAAGGTCTTGCTTTGAAGTGAAGATGATGTTAATGTCATGGCTCTCCAGTCACTTCTAGAAATCCCTCCGACAGATATCACACCATATGCATGCATCATCTGAAGGAAATATCCCCTGAAACTCCGACTAAAACAGAAGAATTTATATATTTTTTTCTTGAATGTGATTATTTTTTTGACCTCATAAAGGATTTATTTTATACCTACGAACAGAACTGAAGAAGTAGCTCATCAAAGTGCCTTTCCAGTAACCTCCATGTTGCCTCCCGATGCTGACGGAAACCGACCTCATCCACGTGAATGTGGTTGCCATAGTAACTGGGTCTGTACACCTGTGCGTGCCTTCACCTGTAGAGCATCTCATTCAGACTTGGTTAATGACACGTTTATCTGACTGTAAGCTGTTGATGGAAACATTGTGTGAAAATATGAATAATAAAAAAAACAGAGTCTATAAACAAACTCTCTCTGGTTTCCATTATTCAACCATAAACAATAAACTGTTTAATATGCAAATAAAACAAATGCAGCGTGATGCTTTGATTATTTATTTACGGTGCACAACATTTTAATAACTCATCACAGACACCACTGGATGCAGAAATATCAAAAAGCTGCGAATGATCCAACATCTGCGACCGTTTAAAATACAGTTTTGACAACAATAAAGCTCCGACCAGTTACACGATTTATCTCGGCTCAGAGAAACGTCTCGTGTTTCAGCCGGCTGAGCAGAGCAGCAGCAGCAGGCACATCAAAGACGCCATCGAGGAGACATAAGAAAATCAAACAGCAGATTCTCTCATATTTCATAATTCAGAACACAGTTTACAACAAAGGCAGTTCACGTTTCTTCTTCAATTACATTCACAGAAAGATGGACGACAATTTAAGCTAGACTACTGCAGTGATTCCATGTGTGTGTGTGTGTGTGTGTGTGTGTGTGTGTGTGTGTGTGTGTGTGTGTGTGTGTGTGTGTGTGTGTGTGTGTTTTAAGGCAAAACAAGAACATAAATAGCACTTTTTATTTTATAGTCCCACATTTTCGGTGTAATGAGGTTTTATAAACGATGATTGATGGAATCGAAAAGCACTGAAACTTACATCTACATGTGTTTCACAAGACGTGTGTGGCGGGAAAAGAATGCTTCAAAACTTGCAGGCAAACTTCTGCACACTGTCTTAATTGTACAAAGTTTTTAGTACCAAAAAGTTGCCAATGTTTCTAGGCAATTTCAACTCATAGACTGTAAATATTAAAGAATGCAACCTGAGTGCCGCCACCCGTCTATTCCTGCAGGGGGCGCTGGAGTCCCATCGATGGCGATCTACACGCTGGAAATGCTGTCTCAGTCTAACTATCAGTCAACCTAACGACAGGCTGAGAGCTGAAACGTCTTATCTGTGCTTTATAAATTCAATTGCTGCCTTGTCAAAAATGCACAAAAAAGTTGCCAACCTCTCCATAACCGAAATGTTGCGATTGTTTTTGGACATTTGAGACAGTGTGCAGGAGTTTGCCTGCAATGTTTGATAATTGAAAACAAGAACTTTACATTTTGTTCCTGAGGTATTGAACAGGTTTTCGATTATTGTTTGTTTTCTAAGATATTATCAAAATTCTGGTATCGTGACAACGCTAAGCTCGGAGCTTAGAGAGACAAATAAAATCAGAAAGCAAAGAAAGACGGACTGACATGTTGCTGGTTTTGGGTCTGCGTGTGAGATGTGTTGACAAAATCAGAAATATCAGACTTCTGAATCACAGCAGAAAACTTTTTGTTCAAAAGAAAACATTCCCTCGTGTCAAACAGGACAGTAAAATCAGAACAATCTTCAGTGCTCAATCAACAGCTGCCTCGTTTATTATCAGAACATTGAACTTTGTTACGCAGCATTTGTTCTTCAACCACTTAAAAATGTCTTTTATAAAGTGTAATGTAAGCGTAAGACACATTGATACTGATAAGTACAGAGTGAATATATTCATACAGCATTAATGTGTGACAGACTGTCTGTGTGTGCGTGTGTGTGTGTGTGTGTGTGTGTGTGTGTGTGTGTGTGTGTGAGAGTGAGACGTTCCTGGTTTACCGAGAGGAGCCGTTGTTGTAGTTGAGGAAAAACTGTTCATCAGGGCGGAAGCCGTAGGAGCTGACGGGTCGATCTGTCGGGACCAACTGCTCCGTCATACTGAGGGGATAAAAACAATCAAGAGGGGAGGAGTTAAGTGTTAAGTTTAATTCAGTGAGATAAAAATATAAAACACACAGATCTTCACTAGGAGCATCAATGTTTCATTAAGTAAGGAGATGTTCAGCAGAGTCAAACTGAAACCAAAACGTCGAGATACAAAAAAACTAAAGTTAAAGGACAATTCAAATCGATGAGACATTTTTTGTGTGATACTCTTTTTGAACCAGCAGAGGGCGCAATCTGCAACTAACTTCTGTTAATTGACTGCAGAACGTCTCTTGCTTCAGTAGATAAGAAGACACATACAGACATTAAAGGTCACATATTATGCTAAATCCACTTTACCCAAGGTGTCTCTAGTCTGTCTACAATTCCTCAAATAATGAGAAAAGTCCATCCTCTCCGTCTTCTGCCTGCTCCACTTTCCAGAACTAAAACTAAAACGACTTTTTCTCCACAGTTCTGACTTTTAGAAAACGCAGTAAGAAAAGGTCCTGAGACTGAAGGGTGTAAGTTCCTACACTCTTCTAACTGATGGAGGTCACAAGGTAAGCAGGAAGTAGACCCAAAACAGACTTTAATTAAGAATATGACGGTGTTAAAGTCTGCATTCGGACAAAGATGACCATCCAACACGTGCAGATTTGATTCAATGGTTCACAGTTAAGGGACAGATTGAACAGTATGACACCACACCACCAGGTGGAGCTCTAACACCAGACATCTCTCAGGAAAACCCCCCCTCCTCCCCGGGACCGGACCAATCGCTGAGTCATGAAAAAATATCCCTCATAAAAAGAGTAATATTCGTCCGCCCTGCTGCAGGTGTTGGACGTCCTGGTTGAGTGTGTGTGCGTTACAGACGGCTCATGGCTGGAGGGGTAAACAGCAGAGCGGCCAAGTCATAAAGAACGAAGAGATGTCAAAACACGACGGCGTGACAAGGGCGGCCGGCGGGCGGACGGGGGGGGGGTTTGGGGGGGGCGGGGGTTGACAGCCAAACCAGGAGGACCTGACTGCCCTCCGCCCAGGAACAGGGGCCTATAGCAGGGGGATGATAAAAGACATGTATCTACAGCGTATAAATCAGTTCCTATGGGCGTGTGGATGCTGAGGGCGGGGGGGGCTGATTTCACGCTCCATCTTCTGACCAGCTGCTGGGAAGTCTGAGTCCTGTGGTCGGGTCACAGTGACGGGCCTGACCGCCTTGTCAGGGTGGAGCGGGTGAAGGATAAACTGGGCTCTGATGGATGACACCATATCTCACACCAATCCCGACTCCCCCCCCCTCAAACCTCCTAAAATACGAGCTGTTTGCTTTGCCCCTGCGAGCGCCCATAATGACGTGTTGTTTTTTAGCCAAATCACTTCCAGCGATCAGTTACACACAGCCTGCACCGTGCCCCCCCACCCTCCACCCCCTCATCTCTTCTTCTAGTTTGCCCTTGCCCCCTCCTCCCTCCTCCCTCCTCCTCCTCCGTGGGCAGAAATATGACTTTTTCCTCTCCGCACGCTACGGCTGTCAGGGGGGATTTGAGAGCCGAGCTAAAGGAGGCTGAGGAACACTGGAGCTCTGAGTCACACCATCCACCCCACCGCCTGTTTGAATGTTTCTGTGGCTGACTGGCTGCTTACGCCCGAGGCTGAGACTTCCAGGTTCTCCACCGGATGTTTGGTCCTGACACACGAGTGAGGACATGACAGCCTGATTGTTAGAAACTCTGAGTTAACGCTGGATCAACATCTGTTCCACTCGGGGTCTCAGTTTGGGTTCTGTTTTAGGAAAACTAAAATGTAAAAATGCTGAGGAAGTGATAGTGTTCTAGTATTGGTAAACAAAAGTTTAGGGTGGACACTTCTCAGCCTCAACGGCCGCCATCTTTGCTGCTTAGAAGAAGAGGATGAAAGCAGGGGGCCCAGAAGAGAAAGTAGAGATTCCAGCATTTTTCATTTGTATTCATTGTTATAAAACTGTGATGAAGTTTAGCGAGCTAACGCTACAATGGATAATAGTTTGGCAGACTAATGTTCACTGAATATGGTTAGAAGAAGAAGGGGAAGAAGGACATGAAGATGAGGAGGAGGGAGAAGAAAACAACAAAGAAGACAAAGGCAGAGAACAAGATGAAGACAAAGAAGTACAAGACGACAAATAGAGTAAGAAGACGAAGAAAAAGAAGACATCAAAAAGACAAAGGCAAAGAAGAAAACGAAGGCGAAGACAAAGAAGATGAACTACGAACAACAAGGCGAAGAAGGAGAAGATGAAGCTGAAGAAGACGACGGAGACAAAGAAAACAGAGACTGGAAAAGAAGACCACAAATATTAAGAAGAAGAAAAAGATGGAGACAGAAAAGAAGTAGAAGAAGACGAAGAAGGAAAAGACAGAGAAGAAGAAGTGAATATAAACCCTTTGGAAACTCAGGTTAAGTACACACTACATGGAAGTGTTCGAGTGTGACATCACTTTGGAGATGTGGACTGACGACGGCGCATAGAAACATTTTTTTTATCTAAACCAATTTGTATTGTGTCATCAGTTAAACATAATGTGTTTGTAAACTAATTCAAAGAAAATGAAGTCAGGAATGTTCCAGTTTCTTTAAATAATTGATTATAATGGTATAATGGTAATGGTTCTTATGATGGTTCTTATGATGGTTCTTGTGATGGTTCTTGTGATGGTTCTTATGATGGTTCTTATGATGGTTCTTGTGATGGTTCTTGTGATGGTTCTTGTGATGGTTCTTGTGATGGTTCTTATGATGGTTCTTATGATGGTTCTTGTGATGGTTCTTGTGATGGTTCTTGTGATGGTTCTTGTGATGGTTCTTATGATGGTTCTTGTGATGGTTCTTGTGATGGTTCTTGTGATGGTTCTTGTGATGGTTCTTATGATGGTTCTTATGATGGTTCTTGTGATGGTTCTTATGATGGTTCTTATGGTGGTTCTTGTGATGGTTCTTGTGATGGTTCTTGTGATGGTTCTTGTGATGGTTCTTTTGGTGGTTCTTGTGATGGTTCTTGTGTTCCTGGGTTCTTATGATGGTTCTTGTGATGGTCTGGTTCTATATGTCTGTTGGGTATCGTGCACTTTGGGTTCTTTCTGTTGAATTGTATTTAATTATTTTTAGTATTTAGTATTTGTTATGTTCTTGTTGTTGTTTATGTTCTTCTGTGTTTGGTTTAGTTTGTTCTTGTTTTTGCTGTTTGTCAAAGCACTTTGTAAACCTGTGTTTTTAAAAGGTGCTATAGAAATAAAGTTATT